AACTCCCCCACACTGTATTTTATACCCTTTCCAAGATCTATTATCTTTTCTTTTTTCAATTATACTAATTTAGTTTTGTGCATGTTATTATAAATTTATTTTTATTCAAAATCTGTGTCTTAAATTATTTATGTATTCAATTATTTAGTTTTTAGTTCATTTATTCATTATCTTTATGCATTCCTTCTTCCTTACATTTTCTGTTTTACATTTTTATTATCTAGCTCCTAGCATTTTTAATAACAAAAACCTTTAAGGCTGTTAATTGATTCTGAGAAAATCTCTGACTACACATACTTTTTTGTATGAAGTGTTTTTTAATAATTGTTTTCTAAATATTATAGCACTGCAGTTATCATTTCCTACTTCCTCCAAAAGCTGTTGTAAGATTTCCTTATTTTTGAAAATTTAATTTCCATGATTTTATTCCTTTATAGCCTAACTTATTTCTCTCTACTTGTTCTGTGTACTGCTACTTTATTTCTACTGGTACTTCTTGTATTTATAAATGTTTTTGTTCAATTTTAATGCTGTGTTAGTTATAAAAGTTGATCAAAGTTATAGACATATTTATTGATCTCATATAAAATAATAGTTAAAAATTCTCACCCTTGTTTATCTCCAAATCCTACTTTGCCAACTGTCTTGAGATTCCTACTTTCTTTTAAGAGCCTCTGTTGGTAGAGGAATTAAAACCCCATCTAAGAGCCTCTGTTGGTAGAGGAATTAAAACATTTGTGTGTATTGTGGTAGCAGATTAAACAATTTTTATGTTTAATTTTTATTTTTTACTTTTCAGCAACTTTTACTTGTATCAGCATGATTTTTATACTTCTTGTTTCCTGTGTTTTGTATCTTTTTATTGTATTAGCTGAGGTTTTCCTTTTATCTCATAAAGTTTTCCAGTAGTAAGATAGAAGAAACCTGGTTTGTTTCTATCCTTTGTTACCCCTAAGTGTTTGAAAAATGTGTTGCACTAACCCTTCACTTATCTGATTTTGATTTTATTTATTATTTGAGGATGTTACCATCCTGGTATTTCTCATCTATTTTTCCTATTGTTGTTAGTCTAATTTCACATTTGAAGTAAACTTTTAAGTTAAATTATTGGATTTTGCAATTTATGTCTTCTCTTAAAATATTTTTAAAACATTTGAGTAATTCTGTAATAATATTCACAGAAACCATATGGTTTAAATTCCATAATGAAGTGGCTTTAATGATCAGAACATCTTTAAGAAATATTTTCAGCTTGGGCCCACAGGTGGAATATATCTTTATTATATATCTGATGATGCTTATCTTTTTCTTCAGGAATAAAACATGGGATTTCTGGGTAAAAAAGATGTTCTTGGTTTATAAACGTTTTCACTCAAAATCTGTAGTCATTAATCTATCAGTAACAATTTTTTATGTAACAAAGAGTAATATAAAGCAGCCTTAGATTTTTTTTTTCCTAACGTTCTGTGTTTTTTCTGGCCTGGACACCTATATTTCTTACTTTCCTTGAAATAATAATGGAAATAATTAGGGTAATAATGGGACATGGAATAGAATATAAACTCTAACCCTATGGTAGGGAATCGAATTATTCTCATCCAAATTCTGAAATATTAAAGAAAATAAAGACAAGTCAAAAAAAGAGGAAAAAGTGCACTGAGCAGCATGGTGATTAGCCAGATGACCTTTGTGACAAGTCTGAAAATGTATTAAATTAAACTAGCCTAAGAAAAGAATGAGGAAAACACTGTGGTTTTTCTTACTTGATTTATTTGTGCATTTGTAGTGCAACGGGAATAGATCACACGTGCTGGGCTGGGGGCCAGGTGCTGGTGTGTGTTCATTTCCTCGGAAAGCTGACAATGTCATAGAAGGAGAAACACCTATGAACAAGTGTAAAAAAAATAAAAAGTGTTGTCAGTGTGATAATAAAAGCCTGGGAGGATATGATTAGACCAGAATGGAGAGCACGCAGTCCTCTGCGAAGTGGCAGGTCAGGGCGCTCAGGGAAACCAGAAACAGCCGAGACCCAGGCCGCAGCCCCATCTCCGCAGGAGAAATGTTGCTCTTGATGAAGCCCAGCGCTGCAAAAATGGAACCAGGAGTGTTTGTTCTCTACAAATTTAATTAATACAATACCGTGGTTGAGGGATTGGGTGACACAAGTAAGGAAAACATATTTTCTTTTTTTTTTTGTCGTTGTAAACAAATTGCATCCAAATGTCAGAAGGCTCAGAGGGCGGGCGAGGCAGGACTGGTGTTCGCCATGTGAAACCACGAAGGCAACAACTTAAAAATGTTTATTTTGCAGTTCTTTTTGCTTTATTTATTTTTTATTGTAAAAATCTGCCCATTAAAAAAGACATTGTTGGAATTATTAATGAGAGGGGAGAACATCTCACTGAAGTGTTTATTAGTGAAGAAGAATCCAACTGACATTAATTGGATGAGCTCACGTAACAAAAAGTGGGAGTACTGATTCCATCCTCTTGAAAGCCTCTTAAAAGAATACAAATTATGGCATAATAATTACATTTGAAATTGTTCCTTTGGTTTTCATAGACAGTATGCCCAAGTAGCTCCCCAAAAGTCAAACCGCATGTGAGGATCTATCTTTTTGCCGTATCTTCTCCACTCCAGCCCTTCCCCAGACCCGGGTCAGGGACTCGGGGTTTCCACGGTGATGACAGTCTTCTGTCCTGGCTCTGTGTCCCCAAGACCTGGGGAGCTTTGTAACCACTGAGCCTGCTCCCCAACCCACTTCCATTAAAAAAAAAGAAAGATTCTAATATAATGAGTCTGCCCTGCTACCTGGTTTTGGTACTAAAAGGGGAAAAAAAATCTTCCTGTGGGGCTGTAATGTACAGCCACTGACCCAGTGAGAACCTCTAATGTTTTGGAAGGAAGCAAATTTCTTACAGAAAAAGGAAAAAGAAGGATGGTGATATGATGTGATTTTATAATGGTTTTTAGCGTCTAGCTATTACTACCATTTTTACCACTTCCAGTACTACAATTAAATGCCAATAGTGCTTTTGTACTTAAAGGTAGACACTGTGAAGGAATATTAAATAATATAAGACATGGTGAGGTTTTTATTTCCCTCAAAGAACTTAAATCTATCAGGGGATAACTGTGAGAAAACTTTTTATATGATATTCAATTTTACAACATTATGCGGTATGAGATGTGTTATGAGGGTATGCGGTGTAATGCAGCACTGAAGCCAGTTCAAGGGGCAGAGGCAGGGCTGAATGAACACTGCAGAAAAAAGGGCAGTTCAGCGGGACAGGATTGGCTATAATTTTCTAGGTTAAAGGGGGCAGCGAACACTAACATTCCAGATGAAGAAAGCATTTCGCTGAGGGGGAAATTGAGGCTTGGGCTCATTAGATGGTTCACCAGACACTGTTCTTTGGTGTCTGAGCAATAATCTCTCCCTTGCCTTTTTTTAAACACAATTTTATGGTTTAGTGGCCGTTCACTCTACTATGTCACCAAAGGACTGGAAACCCCCCAGGTATCAAGAACCTTTTCTCTACTTGCCAACTTTTCTAGCCTTTTTTTCAAAAGTATTTTTTGAAATATAGAGCAATAGATGACATTTTAATGGGAATATTCTGCTCTTGTTTAGATGAGCAATTTAAAAAATGAGTCAATAATTAGTCAATACTGTTATTTTGAGAAAATGGAGGCGTGTGCTGGGAAATAACTTATAGATTGGGAAACTGTAGCTCACTTTATGTTCCTTAAAATTGTGCTTATGATAGATTATATCAAATATACTTAAAATCTTCACATAGGAAGACAGCCTTTTAAATTCCCTTTCTATATGACTTCTTATGCAGTGAAATAATATTACTGAGGTCTCAGTATAAACTGTAGGAGAAATTGTCCACGAACTGATTTTAGTGCCAGATTCTACAATGAACTTACAATGAATCATATTTTCAATTTATTTTTTAACTTTTAAAAATGTGGCCAGTGTCTTGTTAGTGTAGGATTAACTCTTTGAAGAGGCAAAGACATCCATTTACTTCAAATAAAAGAATTATGCACTAGAAATGATCATTATTATAGAATTAGTTGTGGGAAATTTAAAAGAAGTATATGTATTCTAGATGGGTGAAGGGTGGATCTAGTCACCAATCTTTCTATGGTATTTGTATTTGATTCCCAGATCCGTCCTTTCTCTGTGTGAACCTGGGAAAGCACTTAAATCTTCTAAGCTTATCTCCTCATCTCTAGTGAGAATCATATATGGTCATTTGGAGGATTTAAATCTGTGCCCAGCACACAGTAAGAACTTAAGAATGATCAGCCGTGTGAGCCACGTTTCTGTTCCCCTTTTTCTGTCCTCTGAGTTCCCGGAAGCAGGTTCTGGCATGAGTCTGTCGCAGCTGGGGGTCTGTGATGGGAAAAAGGATCAGGATCGAAACGAGGCCTCTTCCGTGGGTCGCCAGGGCAAGATTCAGAATCAATGGGCAAGACCACGTCTGCCGGCTTGTGCCAGGGGGCGTTGCTGATGCGCCCTTTCTGAAGGGCTGCCTGCTCTGGGCGCCGGCGGCGTGGCTGTGGCCCTACCTCCTGGTCGGCTTAGGCACGTATTTAAAGCTGTGTCGGAGAGAGGAATTTGACACATGCCTTTATACACACAACGGAACACACCCGTTGAAACGGCCGAGCCGCGTTGCAGACGAGTAACTAACTACACATTGACTATTATAAAGCATAATCACAAATAGCAAACTACATTAAAAAAAACAACTAGAAAGTGGGATTCTAATATAAATTTGTAATTCTTCCTCTGGAGATTGGTAAGACTTGTCGCAGTGTAGTGGTGGGTTTTGTTCCACTTCTGGCGCGGCCGGGCTCTGCTGCTGCTTGGCCCCCCTTCCTGCGCACGCGTGGTCGGTCCCCTGCGGTGTGTGCGCCTCACGCCCGGGCTGGGCGGCGTCACCGTTTCACACTCACCCACTCACGCCATTCATCCTGAGCCCCTGCTGTGTGCCAAGCTCTCTTCTAGGTCTTGACGAGCAGGGTAAAAATGAATGGCAAACTCCTGACGCCATAGGCCCTTCTAGGACAGAAGGTGGAAATCCGGGCCCCCCTGGGCTGGTTCTGGCCGTGCCCAGTGCTGAGTGAAGCAGCGGACACTGCAAGGAGCTGGACAGAGCCGCGGGGTGGCCGCTGTGCGGCGGGACGTCGGGAGGTCTCCGAGGAGGTAGTCCTGGGTGAGAGAGAGCTGCTGGAAGGTCTGGGTGTTTTAAGGCAAAACACTGAGAAGCTTGATTCTTTATCCGCAGTTGCCTTAGATTCCAGACAAAAATTTTCTAAAATACATTGTGCAAAACTGTCCTAACAGGTGCTTACCCACTGACCACTGGCGTCCCGCCCCGTGTTTGCCCTCCGCCTTCACGCCCCTCTGTCTGCCTCCTCCTCATTCTCCCTCCCTCCCTCCCCTTTCCTTCCCTTTCTTTCTCATATATTTCTCTGAATCCTACAGTCTAGGAGTATCCACTTCTTGACTCCTGTTTACAGGATTCACTGACAGTAAAGGATGGGTTCTAAAGGTTTGATGGAAGGGCTGAAATGTTTATTACAGAAGTGAGCAATATAAAGCAAATTTAATTATATGCAATTAACTATAAATCTTTTTACTGGTCGATAGTTTTGGTACATCTTGGGTTTTGATACATCAAATGATATTTTAGTTTTGCGAGTGTAGGAAATCTAAGAAAAGAAAAAGACATCTCTGTACAAATTCGAATATTTTTAAAGGTTAAGTAGAGAAACTCTAGATATTTGTCTTTCTACAACATAAATAAGATAGATTTATCTTTTTACTTACTGTGACTATATTCAACAAATACAACAGAGAAAGTTTATATATCAGAAACATTTTTTTAAATTTTCCTATATTGTATTTATCAAGTTTCTCCTAACTGTTTATATGGAGGCAAAATAACTACCTGAAATATGAAAAATTCCGTTGGTAATTTAATAGCACCCAAGGTAGATACATGCTATCATTTATTGCACATCTGACATGCATACAATAACATTTCTGTTACGTTTATTTCTTAAAATAAATCTGAGAGGTTATTTTTGCGTCTGCTTTACAAATGAGCAGTTTTGCCAGGTAACAGTCCCATGGTTAGTTAGGTACCAGCCCCACAAAGTCAGGATTTTTCAGATCTTTCTAGATTGTAAAAACAATGCTCTTTTTCTTGTAATATACATTCTCCCAGGAAAACAAGCAAGTGTGGTCAGTACTTGTGGGGGAGACAGAAGGAGTTGCAAAAGACTCTATCAGGCAACTACTATTTTTCCTAGAACTGACACCAGATGTAGATAAGGCTTCAGTTCCCATCAAAGTAACATGTTAAATTTAGATGGTGAAATTTCATGCAAAATCAAATCAATTATTCTGATTCCCATTTTCTATAAATTAAGATAAAGGCATTTCTGGTTTTCTGCACTCCACTCACGGCCTACTAAAGGCATTAAGAACACAATATTGGATTTTACTTGTGGACGACTCCATTTTCATAGTGTGACGCCAATTCTTTAGCCTAACATTTAAATGCCAGATAATGGAATCCTTGGCTGATGTAACAAATTGCTTAATTGTATACAAATTACTTTTATTTTCCATTGCAAAATAAGTTAATAAAACAAAAACGATGACACATTTAATCCTTTTGCAAAACTCACTGTTCATTATGTGATAGGTTTCTGTTTCAGTCTTGTTTTTAAGATATGTATCTTATTACAATATTCTTACTGAGAATCTTGATTTTCAATCAGTAAGGATTTAAAAGGTTAAAATGTTAAAACACTTGCTTTATTATTTCTCTGACCATATGTATTACTTATTCTTATGTCATCATTTTTAAATAAAAGCATGTGTTTTCAATAATAATTAGCATTTAAAAAGAATGATTTGGTTCTTTTTCACATAACCATTTTTTTATGTACTGAGAAATAGCTAAAAAATGTACACTGAAACAAAATAGATTAAGTATACCAAGTACTTTTAAGGCAAAAACCCAATTTCTGATATGCTGACATGTGAAAAATGTCTATTTCTAAAATGTAGGAGACAGGGAGTATTTCTGTTGAGGATCTTTAGTAACTCGGTTGAATTGAATTGGCAAAACTTCTGGAGTCTGATTCATTTTTAACACATGTCTGAGATTCTCAGAATTAGTGAAAATCACAAGTGATAGGTATGTGTTAAAAAGTATCCTCACTTTCTGCCTCAATCCACCAAGTAAGAAACGTGGAAACCTTTTTCACAACACGTTTATAACGTCATTTTTTATAATAAATGGACATGAAATATGATGCTTTCTCCTGTGTTCCCCACTTGCAAAGATTTTGTACACCATCAGGGAGGCACATCTTTACTTGACAAAGGTTTTTTATAGCTTTAATTTTCATATACTGTATGAAATATATGTAATATTTATGTATAATACATATAAAATATATAATGAATAGTAATTCATAGATAATGAATACTGGGTCACCCTGGATATTGCTGGAGAATTAAAGCTGTGCTGAGGGCTGGACTCTGTGCTGACTCCCTGCTGGTCCGTGGGGCTGTCCTCCTAACCAGTAGGCGTGGAATAAATATTTACTGAATTAATGAATTAAAAAAGACCAGTTGTTCTCTTTTGTGATGATTCACACACATATTAATATTTTTAATACAAGCATAAAAGGAGCATTAGAAAGAGCAGAAATGAGTGCAGATAGTGGCAGTAATTCATGAGCCCTGGACTTCCCAGTGGGCTGTTCTGTGACATTATGATACCTCTATAGCTATAGTCTCCTCATATTTCAGGTGTTGTTTAGTATTTGATAGTACTTTTTATTTCCCTTATACTTTGCAAATAGTCTCTTCTCACCCCATCCATTTGGACCTCGTGTAAAACAGCCTCATTAGCAACTGCGGCATTCCGCGTGGGGGTGGCACTCACTGTGCCCGCCTCCAGGGAGAAGGGAACGTGGAATGGGGCTTCTGTGAGTTCTTCTCCCTCCAAACCAGAATCCAAGTGGTTCAACCAGGTGCACTAGGAGTGGGTTCCTTTTGCTCCAGAAGAACAGCAGTGTGCAAGTGCTAAGATCCGGTGTGAAAGAGCAGAGGGCAGAGGCTGCGAGACCTTTCTCTCCAGCCAGGGTTTTGAGGCCCAGGGTGAAGAGGGGTCTGAGTCACTCCCAATTACTGCAGATCTGCAGGAACCTGGGTCCCTTTCTTCTAGTCATGGGAGGATGGGTCCTGCTGTGAGCGCCTCCTGCGCCCAGACACTGTGCTAAGGAGAAGAATTAGTCATGGCCCCTGCCTGGGAGGTGCTAAGCCACAGTGCGCCACCGGGGGAAGTGATGACAGACACATGGTGCGCGTTCCCGGGGAAGGAAAGGGCTCTTGTTGGATGGCTGCGGAGGCTGGTGGGGGGGTGTGGGTTAGAATCAGGGGGCAGAAGCACAGAATGTAAAAATTAAGGGAAGAGAATTTCAGGCTGACAGTATAGCCTGAATTTAAAACATTAAGCCTTTAATTTGGTTGGTCCCTACAAATCTAATCGCAGTGTCTTTAAAACCAGAGACTCTCTTCTGGCTGTGATCAGAAAGGGGTGTGACGATTTAAGAACCGTCAGATGCGGGAGATGCGCTGTTGCAGATGGAGAAAAGGCTGCTCAAGCCCGGATGGCAGCGGCCTCTGCCACTGCCCGGGAGCCGAACGGTCCTCCCTGAGAACCCCTAGAAAGGGGCGCAGGCCTGCAGACACCGGATTGTAACCCAGTCCGACTCACGTTGCGCTTCTGATTTACAGAACCGCGAGACGACTTTTGTGTGGTTTTAAGCCATTAGGTTTGTGGTGATTTGGACTAGCAGAGATGACTTGTGCAGATGGTGGTAAGAGTTTGACTTTGATTATTCGTGTGAGAAGTATCAGGCAGTTGCAAAACTCCCTTTAATTTTCTCACCTTGAATTGTAGGCATTTCAGTGTATACAGAAGATTACTTATCATCAAATAGTACTCATTCTTTCACAACCATGCAGTTTGATTGACTGTTTCCATGGTGCAGTTACCAACTTCACGTTTATTCAAAATGTCCCTAATAAAACAGATATAATCACATAGCTGCCTGCAAACAGTGATGTACAAAGGAACAGATAGGCTCAACTTTTCATAGTCTCAAAAACAAGATAAATATAATTTGGTAAGCATTTTTTGCAAACCACCCCCAAAATGCATGCAATATGTTATACCAAAATAAGGATAAAGTAAATTTTTTAGTGAGACCTGCTTGCTCGTTTTTTCACTTTCATCTCACAATCTTGAAGATAATAATTAAATAGTATATGCCCAAATTAGGCAAAAGCAAAATAAGCTTTGAAAATAATGATTTAAAAAGCCCTGGAGAAATTATGCAACAAATGATTCCTAAAGCTAATAAATTTACATAGGAACAAATGATTAAAATGAGAATATAAATATTAAAGTATATAATATATTTGGGGAAAAATTCTGTAATTTTGACCGGGAGGAAATGCACACTCCCAAGCACATGTGCAGTTTCCTCACTGAGTGGTCTTCGTGGGCAGATCTGCTCAGCGTCCCCGGTGCGCATGGTGGGCTGGGAAGGAGGCGGTAGGGAGGCTTTCCTTCATTCGTCCTGTTGCCAGTTGAACACTATGGACAAGAAAATGGGGAGGAAAATGGTTTAGATTCACTTGAAAGACCTTGTGGAACTACAGAGGTACTGTTTCCAGTGAAACCAAGAATTTGGTATAAGACCCAACCCCATAATCCCTTCTCCCAATCTTCTACAGAACATTGCTTTTATGCATCTCTATTACTAATGGGATCTTGTTATTGTCATCTCCTTGGAGGAGAGAAAAAAGGGGTGAGGACCATTGTTTGACTTCTTTGGTACTATTAGGTCTGGTTTGATTTAGAAAGAATGGAAAAAAAATCTGACTCTTAGAACTAAGAACTTGTTTTCTGTGTTTCAATCTTAAAATGATCTAAATAAGTATTTTCAAAGCGTGAAAGTCTTACGACTATTTAATAATGAGTTCTTTGTTTTGTGTAGTCTCCATAGACAAGCCCAAAGCACCGGCCTTTGTCTGACAAAGCACATTCTTAAAGCTTATCAACAAATTGCTTGAAATTGTTTCTCTGAATGGAGGCAGGGCAAGCCCACCCACTCACAGATA